CGGCCCGGCCCGGCCCCGGCACTCACCCGCACTCGGTAGCGCAGCATGGCCAGGCGGATGCAGTGGCTGAGGCAGGCCGGCGGCAGGAACCAGGCGCGGGGCGGCGGGGTGCCCTTGCTGGCGACGTGGTTGACGATGAGCTGGGCGGTCTGGCGCTGCCCCTGGGCCCGGCGCGCCCACTCCGGCCAGCGGTCCTTGCCCAGGGTGCCGTTGAAGATGACCACCAGCTCCAGGCCGCCCTGGTAGAGGCAGGCCTGGGACAGGGCCGCCAGGTAGCCCAGCATGGCGTTCCACTCGCCGCCGCACACCCAGTCCGTCTGGTAGCCGCCGTACAGGCGCTGCAGCCCGGAGTCCGCGTCGATCAGGATGCGGGCCGGCGGAGGCGGGTGAGCGGCCGGCGCGCCCAGCGAGGCCGGGTGCGGGTAGTGTAGGGGCTGCTGCCGGGCGGCGGTGCGGGCGAGTTTCAGCAAATCCACGGGCACCGCCGCCCCCGGGCACCTCTTCTCCAAGTACTCCTGAAACCCCTGGACTCCCATCGCGGTCGTGGAGCCGCCGGATCTGCCCCCCTCCCTCGCCCCCGTGCCCCCCTCCTTCCTCGCCCGGGACGTCGACGCTACAACCAGGCGCTGCTCCCCCCCGACCAGCGGCCGGCGTCAACCCTCGGGTCCCGGAGACGAGAAGACCCCGCTGCCCAAGTCCTCGGTCCTCAAATAAAAGTCCGCGTTTCAGACGTGCACATGAGAGGAAAAAAGACAGTTAACCGTCGTGGCTGTTGTTTTCGTGGAAATATTACAGTTAAAACCCTTGTTTGGCTTGATCCAGCTGTCCATTTAGTTGTTGTTTTTTTCTTCAATGCAGGACTAGTTAGGGGCTTTGCTAAATATTTTTTAAACCAACCCCCCCCCCCCCCCCAAAAAAAAACCCAGCGATCCTGTCGATAACGACGGTGTGATTAATATTGGTAACTGGGTCAGCGCCGGAGATACGCGGTCGGAGAGGAGTACAGGATCTGGAATGAATGGTTCCCCCCCTTCCCCCCCCCGGGAAAAAAAATAAAAATAAAAAATAAACAAAATAAAATAAAAAACGGCTTCTTCCCCCCCCCTCTTTTTCTCCCCCTTTCAGAAATTCATGTTGTTAAATTCTTCATGCAACGTCCGCCATGTTGTGGTTCCCAGGCGCTAGGGGGAGGGGAAGGGACTTCCGCTCTGGGCCTGCTGGGAAATGGAGTTCTTTCGCACCGCGCCGCTCTGCTCTGGAAGCATTGCTGCTCACGGGGAAAAAACGACATATCCCAAAGACACGTAAGGCGCATCTGCGCTTAAAACCAAAAAGAATCCCCCCAACACGCACGCACAGTTTCTTTTTCATTACGGTGTGACTTCGACTGGGGGGGCTGTTTCTTTTTAGAGACACGGATGTTATAAAAAGGACATACCCAAGGTTATTTTTTTTTAAAGGCATTCATTTTTTAAGCTTTTTAAGTTTTATAGTTGGTAAACTACATATACCATAATCCCCTACTTCTGCGTAGCTGATCAAATGATCCGAGTCACAATAAAAAAAAAACATTACGCAAAACGGAAAATATATCATTTAAACGCATAAATATGATTTATTAAATTTATGTACTGATGCACCGGGCTAACATACTAATCTTAAAGTGAAACTGCTAACTTGTGATACAGTCACAAAAACAGCTACTCCCCTGCTGTAGTGGAGGTTTTGGTACGATCCTTGGAGATTAAAGTTCAATTATTTTATTCCACGTGATTCGTAGAACAATATAGATTTACATGGACACGTCTGCACGAAGCAATGTGTTATAGGTTCTGCAGAACTTGTACTGGTAGCTGGACAATACTGCTGTACCTTTACTGTAGCCCCTATTGTAACAGGACTGTTGTACTGTACTGGGACTGTAGCTCCTATTGTAACAGGACTGTTCTACTGTACTGGGACTGTAGC